CGAGCGGGAGCGAAACACCAAAATAAACGTTTTCCCCCAAATCTTCGCTCCTCGCCGTCCTCTGCAGCATTTTTCTTCCACTTAACAGGCGTAAGGCGTGGTGTCGCAACATGTCAAAACGTGATTATGCGATTAAAAAAAAAAAAGAGTGTGTATAATTCATTACGAATGTCTCCGCCGGCCCCGCACAGGGAGCCGCTGGCGGCCGTGCTGCCCAGCAGGTGCCACAGGACGACGAGCACCTTCTGCTCCACGGCGTGCGGCTTGCGCGGGTACAGCTCCGTCACCAGATCTGCGCGACAGCGACAGCGTCAGGCACCCAAACCCACACCCGGAGCCGGGCCAAAGCGGCCAAGCAGCAAAGCGCAGCTGGCATCTTATGACTCCCCATCTATCCCGAAAATATCCGGTCCCTATTTGAGTTCAAGGAACAGAACAGCCGTATATTATAAGTACATACAAGCTGAAGTATTTTCCCCACTTGCACAATAAAATCATGAATTAAGTATTTGCACGCAAATACCTGTCATTTTGCTAGAACGCATATGTACATAGTCTCCTGATGTCTACTGCAAATTCCATGAGAAAATCCAGAAAGAACTGAACTGTTTAGAGCTGATGATCAGTGCTGTTCACCTAAGTCACACAGTTTAATTTCCTCACTATTATGCAAACGCCTGCCCTCAAAATAAACTCTATAATGCTTGCCCTTGTTCACACCTTGTTCACATCAAAGGAGAAGTCAACATTCTACCATAATTTATTTAATGTTGATAATTTCCACTATTAAAATATGTATGCAACTTCTAATGAATTTTATCTTTCTTTTAAAAAACCCCTTTGAGTACCCGTTTAGGAAGAGCACCACAATGAAGCTTGCAGTTTCTGTGGTGAGTGCAGCTCAGTTTGCCTGCTGAAACCCCGTAAGGAGTATCAAGAGCCCCAGAGGCAAAACCGCAGCGCTCACAGGAGGTATCCTGAGAGAAGAGGGCATCTTCCCTGCTGGGAAACCTGAAAAGAAATCTTCTTTTTTTTTTTTTTTGGGCCATATTCCACTCTTTTCTTTCTGACAGGGGTATGAAGGAGAAAGAGGGAATATGACCTGGAGCAAGTAAGGGAATTAAGCAAGACAAGGGCTCTCCTCAGCAAGCCCAACTGCCCACATGGAAAATCCTGTGTTTGCCCAGGAGGCAGAGGGAGGCGAGTCAGAAGCCAAGTCGCAGTGCAGCACAACAGTCAGACACCGACAGAATGGAACTCGTTACAAAAACGGACTCAGTCTCTCCATTTCGGTAGTAAAGCCAGGCAAAACTTCAGGTAGGTATGCAACTTGCAGGGGATATCTGACCATATCATAATCTTTTGTTTTGCCAACACCAGCTTCTGTTTACACTGGGAGGAGCTGAAATTTGACATTGCTGCATTATTAGTGCTTGTCACTATTGGGACTGAAGGGCAGATCTGCAGGGCAACAGCCCTGTAACCCTGATCCTGCAGTGAATTTGCATCATGAGGACGTATACAAATAAACAAACATGAAAAGAAAAATGGAACTTTACCAGCGAGCTTTTCTGTCATGTCCTGTTTTGCTTTTCCGTTCAGAAACTGGGCTTTTGTGCAGAATGGCTGGAGAAGCAGATAGTTGTCTAAATTCAAAGAAAAACACATTAGAAATCACAATATCAAAAAATGGAAATAACAACCTTATTTATTATATAGCAACTCCAAGAAACAAGGCAATGTATTTTAAGGGTATAAAAGCATAAAGGCATATTCTTAATGACCCTGAAATTCTTCAACAGTCTGGCAGCATGGAATATTTTCATTTACTGAAAATATTAAGATTCTGCTCCAAAGCCAAGATAGTTGAGAAAGAGAATTAGCTATGGCTTTTAGAAATGAGCAAAAATTCAGTTCTCTGATCTGCTTAGAAGTCTCAGGAGTTTGACAAGCTTCTGAGTAATGAAACACTCACTATGACAACATAACAAAAGCACCTGCACATCTATGATCAATCCAGCTAACTACATTTTTTATTGGATTGGCAAAACACTACAAAATTAAGATGACATGTCTTTTTATGAAACCGAGAATAAACTATTCTTACACAATACAGTGTCTGGATGGGAATCATTTTAAGGACCAAATCTTTACTGTTAAAATTTAGCTAATGCAATTAACTCTTGAAAAAATAATAGTGAGTAAATTACCTAAGTGTTGACATAAAGCCTGAATAACATTTGTAACAGCTGCATAAATCCCTGGATTTTTGGAGTTTAGGTTATTGTCTACCATGGCAGGAATCAGCATGTTGATCACAGGCGACAAGTTGTCTTTCAGCAATGGAATCATCTTGTGCATCGTCTCCAAAGCCACCTGATTCACTTTACTATTAGAATCATGCAAGCGAGACTTGAAAGCATCAAAGATCTGAAAACAACAGCCAAACAGCATTCACTGGAATTAAAAACTGATGGTTGAAGTAGATATTAAATTTCCTGCTCTATATTTACTCTTTCATTGTCCATCTTCTCAAGAGACAGCTCAGCTATGCAAAAAAAATGGGATTTTATTCTGTTACCAAGCAAACCGACATTTGATATTTGCCTTCTGTGTATAATTCAATCGTACCCAATTTAACCTGATTTTGAATCATTCCTAATACATCAGCCAAATGTAACTTTCAATATGACTAGTATTATTCTGCAAAAACCAGTATTTTTAACAAGTCAAACTTCTATTGGGCTAAAAGAACGTTGACCTTGAGCATCTTTGAGCCATACGTTTCATTTCCCCCGCACACCCTGAGGTGGGTCTACTCCGAATCCGTGCGTGTCATTCCGACGTGCCCCAAGGTGCCGAAGTCCGTTTCTGCCTTTCGGAGCTGTAAGTAACAGGTATCCTCACAGAAAAGCTCTTGTCCCAACTTCTCACAATTTGCTCATACTTGGACTATCACCTGACAGTTCCTAGATCACAATTCTAAACTTCACCTCTTTTAGAGGGGTATCCAATCTTAATTAAAAGATTTCAAAATCATTCGCAGGTGGATACTGGAAAGTTTCACAGCAATATTTGACAGCTTCAAAGCAAAGACATCGTTGTTAAAAAGCAATCTGATTTCTACTTTCAATCCATCTATCCTTAGTTGACAACTGTTGGATCTCACAGTAGTTATTTTTCTTCTACAGAAAGTCCTTTCTTATCGAAAACAGTAAGTTCCTTAAGCTGTTACCACAATGAAGACACTTCCTCATTTTCTTCCTGTGCAAACATGCAGCCAAATTTTAACTGTATGTGTTTCAGAGACAGATTTTCAGATCTTGATTTCTCCTCCTAGACCTTTTTGTGATCTGTTCCAGTATTTTAATCTTTCTTCCGCAGCGGTATAAGAGAAACTGCACACATTATTCCAGAAACAGTCCCATCAATGGGGACTCTACATGAAAGCTTTCAGACTCCTCCTATTTACTTCCAACTACCTTCGTAGCTCATGTTATCCCTTTTTAAGCATAACTGACCTGTTTCTTGGTGTTTTCTTAGAATCTCTTTCAATGTGCATGCCTGATTAATACGATTTTCAGCAGAAAATTTAGTGGCAGCAATTTCAAGACTGTTGAAGTAGAATGTTTTTGGACAGTTACCTTCACAATGTTTGCAACAACAAGGTCTTGATTGTTCTCTGTATCTGACAGCAGCTGCTTAATTCCATTTATTCGATCACGGAAGTCTTTTGCATTCAATAAATCTGTAATGACTTTAACATATTCCACAGTTTCTAGTGAATTATGAGGAACTGTTTTTCTTTGAACTTCACGAGCTTCTACAGACTCCCTACAGCAAAAGAAAGATGTTAAGTTATTCAGGGCACCCACAAGCAATCTGGAACAGGAGTCTTTAATCAAGACACTGCCTTTCAGCAGAAGTACAGGTGTCAAGAGCATACAGAAATATCTTGTGATGAAGGAGGTCTCACACTTTAAATATGCTTATTTTAAAAAAGTAACTATTACTTCCTCGGCCTCATCCCACATTCCACTGTAACGCATCCATCCCTCCACACACGAGCAGCTTCAGCTGGGCAGGAGCTTCCCTGACTGCCACGAAGGCACCTTCAGGCTGCCGTGAAGTTCAGGCTGCAGTTCAGCTAAGTGGAATGATGAGGCCAAGGATCTAAGCAGGAACAATTTCTTTGACCAATAAGTGCTAACAGATGAATTTTATCATTGTGAAAAACAGCAAGAGTTTGAAGGGTTTCAAAAGTTAAAAGTGATGAAGAGTCTCAAGTGCTGCAGCTTGACTGAACAGACTGAGAATCTCTTCCATTCTGTTAAATGAGTCTTACTAATGAAAGCTTAATGACTCCAATTTATCTGGAGACCAGATGAGTACCTTGTGTCTGCAGACCAGTCCTGATAGATTCCCTAGCTCACTTGTTAACACTTGAGCAAAGCCTTTTATGGGGCATGAAGCATCTTCGAGTTCAAGCCCGTTAGCTCTGAGTACAAAACTTGGCACCAACATCCATCTGCCCTGGGCAGAACGCAGTGAGGAGCATCTCTTATGTGGAAATGGCCATGTAGCTTCACATGCCAAAGCAGGAACACACCATGAAGCCCAGAGTAACCACCTCGAATAGCAGAGAGTGCGTGACAGAAATCTGCTCCTGAATAGGGGCATCTTCCTAAGCCTGGCACTAGTCACAGCCCTACAAACTCCATGTTCTTAGATACAGTGTTTTGTTTTTTTCTTCTTTTTTTTTTTTCCAAGTCAAAGGAAGGCCTATTAGAAGAAACGAAAATGGGGACCAATGTGTTCTAGAATTATCATCACCCCAGTTAAAATCTAACTGAATCCTTAGTTGTCCAGATAAGCACACAAAGAAATAACCTGATCTCTCAATGTGCTGCAGCTACCACCATCTGAACGGCAGCATCTTGAGCCAAGTGACACGGGTCAACTGTGGATTCCATGTGCTTTGTACTGTGTATATTTTCATATGCAGCTGATAAAATAGATCGGCTTTAAAATGCACAAAGCAACTTTAATATTAGTAGTTACTTATTTAAAAGGATTTAGTTGGCACAAAGCAACTTTAATATTAGTAGTTTAAAAGGATTTATCCAGGAAATACTAAGTTTCACCCTTTCCTTCAGGTATGTTCAATTTTCACAAATTTGTCTTGTCTTGTGCAGAGGTCTGTTACTAGCAGGGTAGAACACGCAGTAAGATCATTACCTCTCAGTGACGTTGAGAGCATCTCTGGAAGTAGAGGATGACCTTGAATGTCCAACACTACTGGTATGGGAACGTCTTCCTTTTGCTGAGGGGGTATCTAATGGCATCTCCCCCAGACCCTGCACAGAGATGAAAGGATTTACTAGCACTGCTGGGGACTCTAACAGAGCCAAGTCTAACAGCTGTGCAAGATGCAACAGCAAAGGGCAGCTCATTCACATATCTGCAAGGAGCTCAGCTGCTAAGCAGTAACTTGCTCTGCGGCAGTCCCCTGATTACCGGCAATTCTCTGAACACACCTTTCCCTTCCCTGTACCTAACAGTTACTAGCACAAGTTTACACTGCTCACCTGTTCAGCAAAGGTTTTTTTCCACATACCTTTTGACGTAGATTGTTAACAGACTCCTTAATGTAAGGCAAGTCCTTGGCTGGCACACACTTTTCAAGCATTTTATCAAAATCAGGATGAGTCATCATACTGAAGAGCATCTTTCGCCCATAATACCTGCAAGGCAACAGCCTGTAATGTACAAATCTGTAACCACAGGTTTGTTCCATGACTCCATTGACAATTAGACCCTTGTCACTTCAAAACATGGAAGTGCAGGAAGATGGTTATCCATACGCGCAGCCTTCCTGCGCCCTTCCCATTCCCAGCACTCGTCACCTAAGAGCAGCGGAGCGCGCTGAGGAGTGCGGCCTCCCTTTCGGTGCGGAGGTGCCTGCTGCCTGGACCGGGGCAGTGCAGCCCTGGGGTCCCAGCACGCGGCCCACGGCGGGACTGCCCGCGTGGCACTGGAGCGCCCTGCGGAGCATGGCCGGGCTGCCCTGACGGCACGCGCCACCCCAGCAGCCACCCCAGCCCTGCCAGGACAGCGCCGGGACGCACGGGGGCTCCGGCTGCCGCGGCGGCCTCCCCCGAGCCCCCGGCACCGTCACCAACCTTGTTTCCTGCGAGCCGTCCTGAGCAAACCTGGCCGTGGCCGCCAAGACCCTGTCGGTGACATCCTTGGTACCACACAGGATCCGCGCCGGGCCCATGCGCTCCACGACGTCCGAGAGGTGCTGCGCTGTGCATCTCCTCACCGCCGTGTGCAGGTGGCTGCGGAAAAGAGAGCGCTGAGCGCGAGGCCGGGCCGCCCGCTGTGCCGAGCGCGGGCCTGCTCCGGCGTCACCCAAAACGCGAGGAAGCGGGAAGGGGCACTGAGCCTTTCTGAAAGGAGAACCCATCGAACCGAACTTCGTTTCAGACACTTAAAGATGTAACTACCAGAACGCAGAATAAGAAGGGAAAAATTAATGTCCTTTTTGTTTAAAGACAGTTTCAGTCTCCTGCCTTCTTACAAGGCAGAATACTGCAGCTCTGGGATTGTTTAAACAGGTTATATTCTTCTTTTTAAAGTCAAAAATTTCATTTGCTTAAAAATAATAGTAGAAATAATTTTAGAAAGATCCTATTAACAAGTTCTTTCCAGATATTTTATGAAAAACAAATTCCTGTGCTCTGACCCACATCTTGTTTATTTTATATCATTTTAAAATTAAATAAACCAGTATTCTACTGACTTATAAAAATCTTGCTAAGTTTACTTCATACAAAAAAGAGATCATCAAATACCTATGCCGATGGAAATAACGGAATCAATTTTCAACTTGTGTAGCAAAGTAACCTTGTGTATAAACTATGCTGCTGATCCCACATGAGTTTGGAGTACACAGTTCAATTCCACAAATTCAGAACATTCACATTTTACTTTCATCTTGGATAAAGAATGCTATTTTAAGATGAGTTTTACTGCACAATGAGACATTTGTATGGTTTATCTTTCATAATAATGGAAAAACAGACCTAAAGCAGGGAGCTAAGGAAAAGAACTGACGCGCTAAGTCCCGGCGGAGGCTCCCGGCCTTTCAGACAGACGCAGGATCCAGCGCTCCCCCAATGACTGTTCCTGTTTCGTCAGGATCTCGGTGTTCCGTAACCCCACGGAGCGCCAGGGCCCCTGGAAGTGAGGGCAGCAGGAGCCCCGCGCACCCAAGTGGGTCCCACAGGCGGCTCCCGGCTGCGCAGAGGCTGCTGCCCGGGTCTGCTAAAACAGCAAAACGCAGCGACTCGGAACCCTGTCCAGGCTGCAAAACCAGCGCCACGACTTGGCTGCCAGGCCGCTGACCTCGCAAACGCAGCGATGCTGCTGGCCATTCCTGAGCAACCTCATCGAAACCAGCCTTGGCACCTGCACTCACATCCGCAGAGCAGGCAGCGCTCTCTGAGGCTTCCGGGAGGGAAAGCAGCACGGAGGATTCCTAACACATGAACTGACTGCAGGTCAACAACTAAAGCTAAAGAGCTCGCTGGACTGACACGAAAAGCCCCCGCTCCCCACAAATACCTGCTGCTCACGCAAAACAGTTTGAAATTTCAGGGTATGCACAAGAACCTAAAATTAATTGATACAAGAGGAAATAGGACTTCTAGATCTCTGAAATACTAATGCTGAGATTTCAGTTCTAGCCCTGCAATCATAATCTCGGATCAAGCACCTACTTAGAGAGGGGGTTGTTCAGCAGTAAGCCAGTATCTTTAGAGCAGTGTCACAGAAAAGCAAACAAAAATGCTTTTCATCATTCAGAGGATCTGCAAAATTTATTCTGGAGATCTTCCAAACCCGCTTGGACGCAGTCCTGTGCCACGTGCTCTAGGTGACCCTGCGTGTGCAGGGGGTTGGACTAGGTGACCTCGAGAGGTCCCTTCCAACCTTAACGATTCTGTGATTCTGATTCTTATTGGCAAAGTCAGAAACCATTTCATAGCTGATCAGGAATCAGTATAGGTACCTCCTTCTGAGTTGCAAGCGCTTATGATCACAGTAGACTTGAAATGTAGGCACCAGAAAATACACACTGGAAAAGATCTTAGGAATTTGTAAGGCAACCCGTAACTGTTAACTTGAATGCAGAAGCTGTGGTGAATCTAAGCAACTCAACCTATAAGCAGCATTTAGTATAATCATGCACGTGCAAAACCTCAAGCTTTCCACGTCAGAGCGAGGAAAGGGATCGTTCTTCTCCCAGATTTCATCTCTGAGTATAATTCCTACATTCCTACGCCAGGCTCAAGACACGAGAGCTCCACGTGGCCCACAGGGGCTTTTCTGCTGGAAGGCCAGAGCTGCATGAAGTCACTGGAGGGAAGCTGCAGCTCCCGGGGCTGCTGAGGCCAGAGCTGGTGGGTCAGGCATTAGAGACACCCCGTGAGCCTTGAGCTCAGCCACCTCTCAGAGCAGAGGCGTCTGAGCTGCGGCGCTCCTGCTTCCAATGCTGTATTCAGACTCCCAGCTCAGGCCATTTTTTTACATATAAGGTGTAAGAAAATACTATCGCTTTTACTGCAGAGTAAAGGGAGCTAGAGGAAAGGGCTAGAACGAAAACATAAATGGGAGCTTGTCAGGTGCAAGGTACTCGAGAACAGTAACAGGCCAGCATCACTTCCAGAGAATTGAAGACAAAAGACTATCAAGCAGTTAAGTCTAAGAGAGGAATATTAACTGGACCACCATGACTGCATCCAGAGACATCCAGCTAAAAATCATTATTCTAAAGAAAAAGCGGCATTGAAGAAGAGACCAAAGAGCCTTTTGGCTGCAGAACGAATGGCAGATGAGAATGCTAGCTGAGCTTTCCTGGACCACGCAAAACAGTTTCTTGGGACTATCATATTAATACTCAACAGAACTACTGAAGTCCTGCAAAACTACAAGGAAATATAAGCAACAGCCTATTTTTTACATAATGCAGAGGAAAGAGTATGTGTGGGGGGAACCTGCATTTTACTTATATACCAAAAGACATATTTCATTGAACAGAAGTTTTGCAGAAATAAGTTACTGTAGTTTTAATTTTGGGAAAAAAAAGATTTAAATAATTACTATACTGTTTAATCTATTGATAGGTTATTTCTCCATGAAGTCTTGGTAAGAATTACCTTTGCCCTCCATTTATCAGAGAACAAAGTGCACGTGCTGGAGTCACGTTATTAACCATAGCCTTCAGTGCTTTGTCTACATCTTCCCTTATAAAAGTGTTGGATTCACCAGCTTTGTGCAAGAGGACTTTTACTGTATTATCTAGTTCTTGATCCATGTTCTTTTTCAGGTAGGTGAACAAATCCCCTAAACAGACCACAGCAGCTCGAGAAACACCTGAGCGTAAATTCTTGACCTGCACACAGAAAAACCCAAACAAACAATGAATATTGCTTATAAATATACTTAAAATTAAGTAAAGCTTAATGTTTCCCATAATAATTTTTAAATAATTTTAAAATCAAGTGAGAAGTAAATTTCTTACTTGATTCACAATGTGTGAGAATTAAAAAGCATTAGAATGTTTTAAAGCATAATCTAAATGCCAGGAATTCAAATAAACTGTTGGTAGCTGAAGTAGGAGCTGCTTCGCTGAACTATAAACTCATCCTTTAGAGAAAGTCCAAAACAGAGAAAATGAATACAGATGAATATACTATTTCATGTCAATGTATCTCTGAGGTATAAAATACATATACACACATACACATACATAGTCAGTGCAATATTCTGATACTAAAATTTAACCTCTTGAGCCACAGCCAGACTTGTTTCATGCAGCTTTACAGTCAGAATATCCGCATGGTAGGCAGACAAACATCTCACAAAGTTCAGACCTTCAATTTTCTTCTCCCTAGTTAAAGTAAATATTTAAATTAAATACACTTGCAATTTTCTCACAAAAACTATGAAAGATGTAGAAAAACTAAGGAACCAAAGAGGGAGCAAATTAGCTTGTAAATAGCAATGACATTTAAAACCAGAAATTCTTTCACAGTAGGTCTGTCCTTTGATGTGGTGTTAGGGCTGCGTTAACATACCAGCCTCTAAATCCTTTCCTGCAATTCTGGCCTCACCTTACAGTAGAGTAAGAAAAGGATTATTTTTCTTCGCAAAACTGAAAAGGCAGCGCTGTCCCCACCATGAGAGCTGCAGGAAAACCTTGTATTCCACAGAAAATAAATGAGAGGATACTTACTGGAGGGGACCCTACACAAGGTAGGGCTTAGACTTCAAAAAACAAGTTTGGGAAAATACTAAGCATCATTCTACAATAGTTACAATTTAAAGTAAATTCACACTGAAAACTAACTCTGTATCTTTCTCATCTATCCCTTGGAAGGTTGGCAGCGTGCTGGAAGCAAGCCCCGAGCCTCAGGCAGGCCGCTGGGGCTCCGAGCAGAGGTTTGCACTCACCAGTCATCATCAGCTAACAGCCTCAGTGCTTCTGCCAGCGCCGTCTCGGGTCTGGAGAAGGGCTGCAGCTCCGATGGGTCCATTATTTCCGGACTGTGAGTGACCGACGGGGTCCGCTCTTTATACTGCCCTCGAGCTCCAAGAGAAGCTTCATCTGTAGAGCCAGAAAGGACACCGAGTAATTAGCATCATCTGAAGAAATCGGTCCTTCGAAGGAAGGAAATATAAAAAGTTCGAGGTTTATAGCGGTTGCTGCTACTAAAGGACCAAGATGACTACAGGACAACCTCTCTGTTGCATCCTCCACATATTAGCACAGCTGAATGAAAACCTGCATACAACCACCCGCATGCAAATACCTGCACACAACTACCCACCTACAACTACTGCTTTAAAAAGTCACCAACACAAGTGTAGTTTGTTTGTTTAAAAGAAAAACACAAGCACAATGTGTTAAGACATGATGTGGTAAAACAAACAGCCTAGGTAAGAATTTATCTCATAATGTAAATCGAAAATCACTGTGTTTAGTTCAATGCTATTTCAGCTTTCAGAACAAATTTGATGGACTAATCTTGTGCTATAGAACAAATATTATCTAGTTTCTGTTGTTTGAGGAGATGGAAAATTATAATTGCGAGCAATTGGCTACTGAGAAATAATTTTGTAAGGTATATGGTCATAAAAATAAGTAAGCACCACAAAGTAAATGTTGTTAACAGACAATTTTTAGTCCAACGTACAAATGAATTCTATTTTATACACGATAATAATCAGGTTCAGTTTATTGTAGCACAAAGTTCTTCTTATATCTGGAAAACAAATTCTTTTTGACTCATTTTATTGTCTTATTAAAACCAGTACTTTGCCATATTTACAATGCATTTTTATTTCTCCCAGTATTAGAGACGGCTGGGAAATTCCCAAGCCTCTGACCATCATGGACACGAGCTCGTATTCTGAAAAGCTTCCACTGTGCGTCCTACAGGCACCTCAGCGAAAACCCAGAAGTGTTTTTCTTGGGTCAGGAAGCATCTAGAGGAAAGCCAATTTTCCACCAGTATTTTACATCATTTAAGTCACTGAGCAAGGAAAGAAACCTCTAGTGTTTCAAACATTTTCCTAACAAATTACAGTTGAAAAATATTTTGAAGTGTCAGTGGTGAGTTCTATTCCCTCTCTCCCCACTCTAATCATTTTCTAGAGCATCTCAGGCAAACCCACTTCACAAATAAATCACACCAAGCCTGATTATAGTTTGGAACTCTCACTCTCCATTCACCCACAAACTTTCTAACACAGCCTTTTACATCTGGTTTGGTCATTTGTGTTCGGTCACAGCTTACCAGTGTCCAGCAAGGGCGAGCATTGTGTCTTCTTCAAACTGGATGTTCTTTTTAACAAAGGGCTCAAGACAATGTTTTCTAATGATGAAGATTCACCTCTTGATGATGCCAATAGATCTCCATAGAAATCTAGAAAACAGAAAGAAATATCCAAGCTAACAACAAAATCGGAAAATGGAAATGGCTCGTATTTTAAGTCCTAACTTGCTTTTTGTATTCTTTACTAATTGCAGGGTTTCAAATATTTCTCCTAATCGCTTTCCATTTTTTGTACTGCAAGACCTATAAAAAACGTTTGGAGAGCACACAGCAATGTAAAAGTCACTGAAGTCATGCCTAAGGGTCATAATCTTTAACAATTATCTCAGAATTATAATTTCAACTTCATCCTCATTTAATAGAACATTATCCACTTAAAAGAAACATTAATTCTCACTTTCTATTGTCATTTTCTCTGGTTCTTTCAGCTTGAGTTTTGCCCAGGGATTTTCTTCTTTTACTTCGAGGTCTTTAACTTCGTGTTGCACTTTGTGATTCTGTTCTTTTTGTTCTTTTTTCTTCTGTCTCATCTTATCCTGGGCAGATTTTGACATGGCAACTTTTATCTGCACAAAATTATTCCACCCATTAGAAGATGTAATAATAATAATAAAAATCTTATTTTAATCTAAACTAACACAGGATAAATTTAAAAAACCTCGACATTTAGATAACCAACTTAGCTTGGTATCAGCAATATTGCTAATTTGCGTCATTATTAATAGTCCGTTAGAGGAGAATGCAAATTCCATATGGACTATGCCAAGACAGTCAAGTTTATTTCATATGCATTTACAACTCAAAAAAGGTCAGCCCATTCCAGTCCTTTGTTAACATGCATGAAAAATGTGAAGTTGTCAATTTATTGAGGAAAATGTAGCCCCCTTTTTATTTAATTATTGTGAAAAAAATAATGCTGAACTACAAAAACTTCTGGTTTAGGCTTAAAGTAACATTCTGCAATGCAACATTTACAAAAAAGAAATTATTCTCATCACAATTTGCAAAAAAAAGAGTTAAATAAGCTGTTCAGAACAATTTGCACAGACAAGCAGATGTTGACAAACGAGCTCCCACTATTAACACAGCTTTAGTCTTCTAAGTGTAACGGGGCTCCATGAGTGACATAAATAAAGGACGTGCGTTGCCGGCCACCTGAGCTATGAATTAACGCTTCCTAATCCAACTCTCCCATAGGTAAAGCTACACCCCGCTGTGTTCATAGCACTAAAACACGCAAGGGGAGGCGCTGACGTGGCCCTGTCTCACCCCTCCGTCGCTGGCCGCGTGCGGAGGAGCGGCGCTGCTCCGGCACACGGCGCCCGCTCTCGCCGCCTGCTCCGCTCCCTTCTCCTCGCGCGGCGCCGCCGGGCTGCACGGTAGGGCAGAGGAGCTCCCAAAAACACCTGAAAGGCAAATCACACCCTGTCCTCACCAGGATAACCACCTCTGGAAAAAGACATCTTTCCCCATTTTAAAAACACAACAGGAGAGAATTGTGGTTTTGCAATACCTTTACCAACAACTGCTACTGAAGCTTCTGGCAGGACCCTTGGTGACATGAAATCTAGGCTGTTGATTTGCTGAAAACTAGAAGTTGATCCTGTAAAACCTTAAAAAAGAGAAAGAAAAAAAACCCACACTGATCATGCAAATCATATACTTAACTCTTTTGTGTTTTATTCTTCTATGCTGACATCTAAATTCTTTATCGTATTTATAAATCATTGTTTTTTTCAAGTCACTGAAGTTTGCAAACACTGATATCCTCAGAACACAATAGTTACCATGCAATAAATATAATTTCTTCCATAATTGTAACAAGACCAAATATTTGTACGAGAAGGTAATATATGTTTATTTTAAAGCTATTAATATTCACATTGAGATAAATAATATTTTTATCTTTTTTTCTCCATGGCATTTACTATCTCCTGACCTTTAATTTTTACTGACACTCTAATTTTAGTTAATACCAACCCTCCTGCATCTGATTAGAATAGACTAGAAGAGAAAAAAAAAGCTAAACCCCTTGAAAGGTATTTTCTATAAAAGCTGGTCTGCCCTAAATGACAGGTCAGATGAACAGTAATGCAGCAGGCTCACAAACCTTTTGAGTGCTTAAAATTTCTTTGGTGTTCTGTGTTTTGACTTTTAAGAATAGTAGGCGACACTTCACTTTGCTTCTTGTCTTCAGAATCATCACACCCATTGCCACATCTCAAACGCTGCCCAACTATGCTGACATTTGAAGTCCCTTTATCGTGCAGCATTAGTCCTGTAAGGGAAAAATAGCAGGTGTCTTTTACAAACACTTCTGCGTAATACAGGATTTTGAACTGTATTACATTGACCTTATCAGTAAAGCAAGCTGTCAGCTCTTCACAAGAGGCCTGGTGCTGGGCATTCTGGTTGATTAACTAGTTCAGTCAGCAAAATAATTGCACTGCTCATTATTTTACACTGAAGGTCAACTTCCCACACAATGTATTTTCATGTAATGAATGCAAAATGGTCAACCACAAAATGGATTATTACGTATCTGCAGTCTTTACTTTCCAGCCTAAGCTGTTGCTTGACATATTAGCTGACTTATTATAAGAAAAAAGTAGTCTTAACTAAACTGAGGGGCCTTGGCAATAATCTCTGAAAAAAGAGCAATAATATCAGTATCCACCGTTGCTTTTTGAATGGGATAGCTTTGCAGATTACAGCCTCGTATAACACCCTCCAACGTTAAGACCACCAAGTTTTCTGAAAAAACACCCAGCTGCCAAGGCTCCAACAGGATGCTCCGGAACAGGCGCTGGGAAGAGCAGCCAGAGAGCTTTGTGGGCTCTGTATTCATAGAATGGAGCAGCACCACCCACCACCAGTTATCCACAAGGATATCAACTGCTTTCAACCTCTCCACCCTCTCCAGCCTTGTCCAGTGAATTTCCAAATGAAACGTTTTTCAGTTTCGAAGGACACGCACTCACAGGTGGCGTTTGTATGAAAACATTTTATCATGACATGGAAGGAAAGAAACCCTTGAATTTCTTCTCACCTGCAGTGTCACAGTATAATCTCAGTTTGATCAAATAAAGTCTAGAAATTATCTTTTAGTGCTCAGGGTATGATATCTCAAAGACCAAGTAAGAACCAAGTCAAGTCAGATACTAGCCAAAGCGATCCCTCTGCTACATCTACGAAACCAGTTATGCATTTACAAACGCAGTAAAATACCCGTGCTGGAGGTATGTTCTGTCACATTAGTCTCTCTGCTTCTTGCTGAAGATATTCTGGGGGGCTGTGATTTGTTGCCAAGTAGAGGAAAGGTGTCTGACCTGTCACAATACAAAATACACTTTTATAGGTACAATTCTACATGCTAGTCAAAGTCTACCTGAACAACACTTTCTAGCAGAGACACAGATATATTTCAGTTTCTCTTCCCCGCTATATTTTATAGACAAATATCCATATTCCTACAAATGTTTATATCCAATAGGAAAAAAAATCATTAGAAATTATTTCATTAGCAGTTCCACTACTAGGAATGTCATAATGGCAATCTTTAAGAGTAGATTTTAGAGCAGGAGTAAAATTAACACGCATTCAAAAAGCTAAGGAAACATTTATCTAGGGGACTAAGACTGCTGATTGCAATCTGGCAAACAGCAGTAACGGACAAGTGGTCCAAACTTCAGACCTTAAATTTTCAGAAATTAGCTGTGCTTTCAGCTCAGCTTCTAGTGGACCGATATTCACCAGAATAAGTTGCTTTATACCAGACAATATTGACATTTATTTTTTTTAATTATTTATTTGAATATTAAAGATGCTTTATCTTAATGTTCACATTAGTAACTGAAGAGAAACTTCACTGACACCAGTATCAAGTTCCTGTTATTCATGGTGCTGTATCAGTGGATAAAATCCATCTAAAAGTAGATACACAGAAGAAATCTGCAATTTTGTTGCCCACACTGCACCTATTTTGTGCGTAGACAATACCAATTTCCAGTACTGGAGAATGGGCATCGGCACTAACCTCTCTGATCCAGTATCTGTGAGTCCTGTAAAATATTAAGCGTGTGTGGCCACAGCGTAACTGCAACGGTATGTGCTACATTATGGAGCCTTGTTCACATCTGTTCTGCTCAAAACCTTGCCTCAAATAACACCATCTGCAGAATTTTATAATCGTTATTTCTTGGGTATTCTTGCATTCTCAT